AGAAACACGGGGGATGGATGGTGCGACCGACTTAAAATGATCCGTGATCACAGAAGGGCTTGTCTTTCTTATATGGATTCAATAATTGGGTGAACTAAGAAGGCGAAGTGCCAGCTTCCCTCCACCACCCCATTGTCAAGATGAAGGCCATCGCATGAGAAACACGGGGGATGGTGCCACCGACTTAAAAGGATCCGTGATCACAGCAGGGCTTGTCTTTCTTATATGGATTCAATGATTGGGTGAACTAAGAAGGCGATTTTTCTTTTTAAGTGCCAGCTTCCCTCCACCACCCCATTGTCGCACATGGACAAAAACAGTTGGCGTGGAAGGTGGTCTCCAAGGGCCCACTTCACAGCTCTGTTATTTCTCTGGCCAAAACATTACATCTTTTGCCCGCGGAGATCTGTTTGCACTTCAGTGCTTCGTGCATTTCGACCTCTTGCGTGAACTCCAGCAAATCAGTTTCCTCCTACGCCCTGTCGAGGACCGTGCGCATCTTGTGCGCTTACTTTACAGGGAATGAGAAGAGGAGATTCGACTGGCGGCGAATCAAGTCTGCTGTGCTCACGCCCACAACGGCGTAAAACGGGGTTTTTTTTAGACATAAAAAACTGGAAAGCAAGTTTTGCAATATTATTCATATCTCAATTATCTATTAAATAGAAATGCTAGATCACCCACATCAGAAAATGGCTGGATGATGGATTGGTATTTGATGAAAGCGACATAAAATTTCCAGACGCATATTGAGGGTTGTCGACGGAGCATCGGTTCAGCATGACAGTCGGTTGAGCCGCCCGAGACATAAGGGCTGTGACTGACAGGCGAGTCTGAGCTCAGAGCTTCAGGCTGGGGATGAGCAGGCTCAAGGAGAAGCATGCCGGTTAGCATTTAGAGCGTGCTTCACTCCAAATTGTTGCCCTCAATGCTGAGAGCGCGTGCTGAAACATACAAGCAACCGAAGGGCTCGGTTTTACGACGGCGGCGGGATTATGATAATTGTGTTGTGGCGCAAGAGAATTAGCGAGAAAAAAAAAATCCTCCCTTCTCTTCAAGAATCCACTCATTAAAGCCTTGGCATCCTTTTAGCGGGCATGTTGGCAGCCAATCGAAAGAGCTCCCAGTTATTCTGTTTCATCCGTGCAGGGCCTGAGATCAGCCCCCATGAGTGGTATTAGAGGGCAGAGAGCGGAATAAAGGCATGAGGAATCGATGGGGCAGTGGAGATTCCGTTGTCTCAGATCCACTGCACTGGAACGTCAAATATACCGGATGCACGTTGGCTTCCAGGTGAGCTCTTCCGGCACAGTCAAAAACAAGGGAAGGAAATCAATGACAGCCGCCAAGCCAAGCCAGGCAACATGAATTTCTCAGTGCCTTCAATCTTCCCGACCGCCATCTGTGTGCACCAAAGCGAGGCTGTGATTTATTTTGAATTTGTTGAATGGTACAAATTATTTGGAGGGATCATTTTGAACTCACCAAGTGAGCGGGATATTCTTCTTAGACAACAATACTCCGGTAATCCCCAACTGAATAACAACACTAATTTTGTGTGTACGCGTGGGCAGCTTTAAAATTGCTCAGCTTGTTAAGAGGCTACAATTTTAATGACTGTGTGGATAAATGACATTTTTTGGCTGCCCTTTCCCAGACAGACGTTACTTCTCCTCTTAATGATGCGCGGATTTGACTTTCCCTCCTTTAATTGCATGACCCACCTGGCCTAAAGTTTCCCCCTTATTAAACTAATGGCCATTGGTGCCATTAAAATGACACCAGAAGCTCTGCTATGGTGTCATTATAGAGCTGCAGCAGCTGGGAGACAATGTGAAAAGTCCAAAAGACACGGTGGTTATTTTTTTGCCACGGATCAGTCATATAAATCAGGACACATTATGCGAGCCAAGTTTGCTTCACTTCCCATGACGCACTGTACATATATGACATCTCCGGTCCAAAGCAGATATTTTGAAATATAGAAAAATAACATATCATTTAGGCTTGTTCCAACTATTACAGGTATTGTTTGGCTCACGGTTGGTTGTTTGGTTGCTTTGTATGGTTGGTTCATGTGTTTACTCATCATCTGACAATCAGTCACTTCGTCAATCGGCACAATAGTTTGTCACAGAGCAATTAGTTATTCAAGCCATTCATAAATGAGTCAGTCAGATCGTCAGGAAGCCCACACTAATTAAAAAAAATTAGCAGCACAGAACAGCATGGTTTTGTTGTGATTTTGTGCTGTTCTTGTTGGTGTTACTGGCTACTAGCATGCTAGCAGGGCAACTGCAGCATGCTGGACCAGCAGCAAAAGTACAACAAAGGAGCCAACATTCAAGCAGCCAAAATATCAGTTACTGGGCAACCCGCGCTACCATCTGAGCCACAGCAGCCCAGCAGGGCGCCAGCATGTTGCTGGCGGGCCCCGCTCGGAGCTGGTGATAGCTGCTGACGGCTGAGGTCTTGCTGGTATGAGCAGCTACAATAGCATGTTAGTTCTGTTGGGTGGCTTTGGTTCTGATTGCCCAATCACCAAAGATTTGGTGCCATCCGTGTGTTAGGTCGATGATATCACGCAAAAACTTAAACGTGAAACACTATCCTGAGGGGCGGCGTTGAGTGGCAAGTGAGGGAAAAAGTGTGTTTGTTCTTTTGTTAGTATGCCACTTTTCTGAAGTTGTAAGAATTAGAATTAGCGAGGGAATGGTTCTATTGTCATTATTCGATTATTGTTAATGTACTGTATTGCTGATTTAAAAGAAAAACAAACCCAGTAATTTCCGCAAAGGACTTTCTCACAGTAGTGCACATGCAGAATGAAAATTCCATAGCAGGCATTCGGCGTTCAAACGGTTAAACGTGCTTTAGGCTTCTGGTGACACCCAAAAATATATGAACCGACACACAAATAAAAGCTATAAGCAGGCCGCATATCCGCCACCGTGAGATGCAATGTGACACTGGTGACCTAAGCATTAAAAGAGGAGGCTTTTCCGCAGGCTCCCAAAGGCCACGATGATCAGGAAGCCGGTTACGAACCGAGCAACACGCCAATATGGCCCTGAGCGTGTCACAGTTTGGAGCACCGTGACTACACCCGCATTACACAGAGTAGAGTGAGCACATTGGAAGTAACTGGAATACTTTTTAGCTGTGTATCCTTCCACACGTTCACAAATGAGTCACTTCACAGTCCACTCACACACTATGAGGCCCAAGTCACAGCATCAATAATTTACAGTGAAACCTCACAAATGGCTTGTTCTGTTAACTTGCAACATTTGAATTGTAAACATTTTTTTTGGGGGGGTGGGGCATAAATTGTCAGTATACCTCTTCCGATTTCAGTTTCTTTCAGCACAAAACACACAAGTCCAAAATGAGCAAACTCTCGAGCAGCTGCTGTAGCCCACAACTCACTTCCAGACACTCACATAAAGATTAACCAGCCAATCAGACCCGAGCACCTATCAATCAAAAATGAGTATGAGTGTTCAATCAGCCTTCCATGCATGTTTTTGGAATGTGGGAGGAAACCGGAGTACCCAGAGAAAACCCACGCAAGCCCGGGGAGAACATGCAAACTCCACACAGGGAGGCCGGAGTTGGAATTGAACCCACTACCTCTGCACTGTGAGGTCAACGCACTAACCACTGGACCACCGGGCCGCAGGTTGTTTTCATTTGTTTGAGAGATGAGATTCCTAATTAAGGGATAATTCGACATGATTTAGGATGATCGTCACATTTTCTGCTGAAATGCTTTCATCGTTGACTGAAATGCTCTCATACACAGGACTGAATTTGTTTTCACTCGCATGTGGACGTACTTTAGTATGGTGTGTGAAAGGATTTCAGTTGTGTGTTTGACAGCATGTCAGAACGGGGCATCTAAAATCTTCAGTTGCTTGTATGTGGTCAATGAGTGGGGGAAAAATCCGTTTTGTGTATGAGAATATTTCAGTCTTGTTTCAGTAGGAAGCGTAAAAGGTTATCTTAAATTGCACTCCTAAAACTGCCTTTGGTCAAAAGTAAACTAAAGTGGATGCTGGGTCATTTGTACTCAGCGCATTGGTTTGAGGATTTGACCCAGCACATTGGGTCAAGATTGTGATCTAACAAGGGGTAAAAAGTATTCATACTGACAAGTTAAAGCTACAAAGAAAAGGATTACCAGGCATGCTATCAGTAGTAGTAAAATCAATGCTAATTTGATCACCAACGTTTTCGAAGAAGAAGAAGCAACGTTCCCCTATAAGGCGTCACCAGAGCAAGTCTGAAAGGGATTTGAACAATTTAGCCACCACCACCAGCCACCCCTTTTTAAGAATTAACGTCACTTTGATTTCAACGGAGCACACAACAAAACTGTCAGAAAATGGTGATCAGCTTGAACAGCTTCAGCTCTTTAGCCCACCCAAATCCAATCTTCAATCCAGTCTGCTGGGTCAAAAACAACCCAACCATGGATAAAAGGATAACCAAACCTGCTCAAAACTCATCAAGTGGATTTGGAAAACAAACTAGGAGTGTGTGTGTGTGTGTGTGTGTGTGTGTGTGTGTGTGTGTGTGTGTGTGTGTGTGTGTGTGTGTGTGTGTGCGTGCGCATATTTGGCATGTGTGGGCTCCCAAATCGTCATTAACCGCGGTTAACTTCTTTTTACACTTGGATAATAGTCAACAATATTAAAATGGCATACTTAAGGCATACCCTGCGCAACTCCTAAAGGGTTTATGACGACCGCTCCGGTAACAGATGATTAGAATTCTAATTGATCTCAATGGGAACTGTTAATCCCGGGGTGGCGACACGAGACACCTCCCCGCTCGTGCAGCTCCGCGCAGGATCTCCACCTCCCTGTCTGTCACTCACATTTCATCTCGTCTCGCTCGGAGAGACCAACCTTTGCGGCGTCTCCAATCATATGCCTGAGAATCTGTTTCCAGGGTAACCAGGCCACCAAATACTCTCCATCCAGCCTCTCACTGACTGGAGGACCCTTTGTTTACAGTGTGTATGGGCTGTGGCGGTGAAACAGGTGCTCCGCGCACACACGCGCACGCACTCACGGATTCTTGTGCAAAATCTGGCAAAGTATGTCTGAAAACGTGCAAAAATAGTCAAAACACTAGAATGCACGATTCTAAAATAGATACATCTTTGTTACATAACATTTTACAGAATACTGTACCATGTCGTGTGCGCGTTAGATTGGAACCCAACGCACGTCTGCCACTTGTACGCGTGCGCGTAAAAAAAAAAAAAAAAAAAAAACTCCAAAGGAGAGAAAGGCGTTCCTCAGTCATTCTTCCACTGTCAGTGCTTCCCCCAACGTGCCTCCCGCTTCTCCGAGGGAGTAAAATGTTTTGTTTTGTTTTTTAGTTTTCAGTCCCCTCCTCAATCATCCTCTTCTTCTCCGCAACCCTTTTTGTCCATCCTTTTTTTTTTTTTTTTTGAAGAGTTGTCTGCAACTAAAGTATGCGGTGGAATGCGCCGCGCGAGAGCTTGGCCATGCGGGAGGAGAGCGCTTTTTGGGTGAGCACTGACAGATGGAAGAAGTGAAAAAGAAGACATCGCCCGGAATGCGTCCCTCCTTGCTGATGATTTGGGGAGCTTTACTCTTCAACTTCAGGTAGGCGGCTGTGTGGATTGACGCAAGTCTAACGCACTTGTAGACTTTTTTTTTTCTACCCGAGGTCTGACAACGATTTCAGTTCAATTTCAACACAAAGCGCGACGTGGTGCGCCACGTCAATTTCCTATTAACACGCGCAAAGAAACCACACCGCGCGTAATGCGTTTTAACGCACGGTCCCACCCACCTGACACGCGCCGTGTTTTTGATCGCCGCCGTGTTTTCTAGGCTCGTGGACGCAAAGGAGCACGACCCCCGGTCATCGTCCAACATGTCTCCGTCCGACTTCCTGGACTCGCTCATGGGTCGAACGTCAGGCTACGACGCGCGAATACGACCCAATTTTAAAGGTTTGTGTTCACCTTCGGACTCACTTCATGTAATTAATTCAACACCACTAAGAAACAAGTAAGAATCTCTTGTAATCGATCGTTAATTGATTGATTGATTGTTAACCGGAGATAGACACGAGACTTGTGATTCAGTTGTGGACACTCACGCTGGCCACTTCATTACGTACACTTAGGCAATGCAACGCGAAATAAGTCCTCACATGCTCAAGTTTCATTGACGCTGTCAGATATAAATTATTGACACTGAATCTTGATCAATATGGTTGTGTAGTTTGCAGTGGTGAGCTGACGACTTTGTAAGTGACAGTTAAGGAAACAAAAATATCTAAAAAAACAAAACAAAACTGTAATGTAACCGTATGAAAAGTTCAAATGCAAAAGCAGACATCTCAATTGTAAAATAAGTTATACCTGTATAGAAATAGTCTTTCCAAGAGGCCTTAGATGTCATTTCATCACAAAACCAGACAGCTCCAATTTTTTCACATAACTAAAAATACTTCAATATAAGTATGCTTTGTGGATATACAGTACATTAATAACAGGTGAGTTACGAGAACTACAGCCCCTTGAACTAACCCTTAACTAAAATAAATCTTTAATCCTAGTCCCTGGGCCAAATCACGTTGGTTGCCGACAGTCATATCTTCTTCGTTGCTGCAGCCCTCAAGTTGCTGTCAACCTGCGTGATTGCCAACAACATCGAAAGGCTTCTTTGGAGAACATATACACCTTTACTTAGTTGCATCAGAGGATACAAATCCAACCACAATAATAACAGTGACAGTGTCAAAGAAAATTCAGTATTATCGTGTTTCTAAATTCTAATACGAGTACCCTAATGAAGTGGCTATAACTTCTCACCCTAACGCTGCATGTTTTTCCCCCCAAACATCCCACCATCATGTGCACAAATGCAAAAAAGTAAAAAATAAAAAATGCAAAAACAAATGAAAGGAGATGTGTAAATACCAGAGTCCGCAGGGAGGTGTTGATGAATGCTCGCTACAGGCAGGATGGGGGGTGTCACCCTGACAGGTCCAAATGATGGATGGTGCCCCCATGGCAAGGCTGCAGGCTTTCCGTCTTGTGGTGCTGAGATGCTGCGGAGACACAAACAGCAGCTGTCATTGGAAACATAAGGAGGGTCCCGGCTCGCAACCAGACGTGTCTGGTGGGCAGGGATAAGTCCAGATGTTTTTTTGGGAGGGTCTTCCTCTAGTTTTTAATTGGAGTCAAATGGAGCATCAAGAGATTGAGTATACAGGAAGGTGTGTGCGTGTTTTTTTTTTCTTTCAACTATCATCTGTCACTATAAAGGTGTACCATGACCATCTTTAAAAAAGGGTGAAAGGACCGTGGGGGGAGGGGGGTTGACATTATGACAGTTAATTTATAGGATTATTTACATAAAGTTAATACATTTGAAATATTAGGGCTTTTTTTCATTTAAAAATAGGACTTTTTCTTCTCACACCATCTAAATGTTCTCGATTTTTTTCAATGTTATTTTATAAATTATTATTATTTTTTGCTTAGTGCTGCAAGCCAAATTTGAATTTTGAGCTGCAGGTATGGCACCACTTGGCGGAAGTGGGAAGGGGAGCGGTGGTGGTCCAAAGTCATCCATGCACTTCAAATCTGAACAAACAGCCAAATACAAAATGAAAACAACACTTGCAAGAAGCTACAGTTGGCCACAACTCACACTCAGAGAATCACTAGGCCACACCCCTTAAAGGCAGATATACAACACTACAACTCTTGAGATGTACAATAATTACACTTGAGATCTATAGTGCTGCGAAATAGTATTTGCCCATTTTTTTGTGTGTGCTTAATAAATTCAATTAGCATTTCGAAACTGCATTTTTTTATTTCCTTGGGTTGTCTCTGTGTGATATTAACATTCGTTTGAGTAACTGAAACCTTTGTGTGTGATAAATATGCAAAGAAATCAGAAAGGGGCAAATACTTTTTTGACAACACTGTATATTTTTTTACAACTCTCTCTTGAAAAAAGTCACTACTCTGGTGGAATAATTCTTCACAAAAAAAATACAACTATTCATACTTTTTTTTCATCTAGAGTGTGGCTCTGACTCTATTTTCATAAAATATTTGCCGATGAATCAAAAACACACCTTTTCCATATGAAGCAATTTCCACTCGGTGCTTGTCACACCTTGACAAGTGTGTTGCATTGCTGAAGGATGACCTAGATTTCCTTTTGCTGACATTGTTGTGAGCTGCTTTTATTTTCCTGCTCGCCCCGTTAAGTCTTAGTCAGCTGACAACAAAGCGAGGCAAATATTAATACAGAGTCTGATGCAATATTGATGGGAAACGTGCGGGGAAAAGGGCAGCGGCAAAGGCTGACAACCTCACTTTGCGCCTGTCGGAAGTTTTGCTGGGACCTGAAATGGCAAACGCTTGCATGCCTGGCTCGGAGATTTTTACTTCAGTGCTCATAAGAGCCATGTTGGAAAATGATCTGATTGAGGCGGGAGGAGACTGGAAGGAAAGCGTTTTGGTGCTCAGACAAGAGTGAGGGGAAAGTCATGTCAAACGGACTTCATTTGGGAGTTATGAAAGAAATTAGGACATTCAGAGCCTTTGCATTTTTTATGAGCACTTTTGCACATTAAAATATGTCCATCAAAGCATGTACGCTCCCTGGCCAAAACATTAGGTACACCAGTGCACAATCTAATGAGATCCACTATTAGAGCTGTTTTGATTGGGCTTGATTGTGATTGGTTTGGTTTATTGTAACAAACCGACTACTTCACGAGCACTCTAAATTCGATTTCATTCTTTTGATTGGTGGAACGTATGAAAAAAGAACTGAGATGTGGGATACACTGTGATCATCTTCCACGCCCAAAATTCCCCTGCAGAGGGAAAATAAATGTCTTTCAATTCTCTCAGAGAAGAAGAGTGTTAACAACTCTGCCAAATTTGGAAGTTTGAAAAAAAAAATCACCAAGCATATAAAATGAGTCATAAAAGTGTGAAAAATCAAGCGTTTGTCTCCGCTCTCAAATGCTATGGTGGTGTCTCATGGATGTGTAAAACCATCCCCCACTGAATAATGGATGCATACAGCCTACGCATCCCTATATGTTTTAGCTGCGAAAATCTATTTGAATATATACGGTTTCTATATATTTAAGTCTTCATTGGCTGAAATATATCCCAACATCATCGCAGGGCTTTAGCATGCCACAACAACAAGTAGCTCTGAAGCAGCCGCACCAGCGCAAAGCCCCTGTCAAGATGCTGGCTGCCAAGTCAGACCTAAAAATAAATAAATACATAAATAAAGGCCTTCCTTGCTATGGCTGAAAAGGCTACTTTTTCTGTGTTCGGCGCACGCACTGACAGCTGACAATGAGGCGCTCTAAGATGGGAAAGCTAGCAACCTAACTGCATGTCACAATTGATCCAGATAACCGTGATGCGAACGAAGATGCTCAAGTTCTTAGCTCATGCCAGACTTCACATTATGTTACTGGACGTTATCTTATTTGCCTTTATGTTAGCATAAGGCTAACCTCCGAAACCAAAACATTTATGTAAAATAAAATTGATATACTTATTATTAGACAGATTGATTCATTGCTTGTGTTTGTTAAAAAAAAATACTTGTGATATATAATAATCACATATTTAAATCAAAATCGCAATATTTAGGAAAGACAATTCAATTATTTTTCATAATCGCTCAGCCCCACTAAATATTTCTCAGCAATAAAATTTCAACATTTATAATGTGGGTAAATGAGAAACAAATCTTTGTATTGACTTTACAGGGTCTTTCTGTCAAAAGTGGTTGGGAGTGGTCGGACTGCATTGGTTGGTGTCCCTAATGACGTGTCCAGGAGGTTATAAACAAGCACGCTCATCCTTCATTGCCACTACCGAATCAATGTGTTTAAGGCGTGTCATTGTCATTCCATTCCACAGGTGCCCCCGTAAACGTTACATGCAATATTTTTATCAACAGCTTCGGCTCGGTCACGGAGACAACCATGGTGAGTTCTCCGGCATTGCGTCTGCTCTACTGTGCACAAGTGTGAGTGAATGTGTTATCTGTCCCTCAACCTGCAGGTCCGCCCGTTAACGTTACCTGCAACATATTTATCAACAGCTTCGGTTCTATAGCTGAAACTACCATGGTGAGTTGAGGGGTCGAAAACACTGAGTGAATTCTTCATCATTTTTAAAAAATATATATTTTTTTATCATCCTTTCACAAAATACAATAATTGAGCGGTGCCTTGAGATACAAGTCTAATTTGTTCTGTGGCCACCCGTCTAACTCAAACCACGCGAATCTTTTGTCATCTTTCCGCATTCAGAATTTGTGTTTGCGCCATGGCCACTCGGGGGCAGTATAAAACAGATGAGACTCATAACTGACTCAATACGCCTATTTTATGCAATATCAATAATTTTAGGCTAAAGGATAAAGAATATATGCCAGTAAGTACATTGTCTTTCGACATGTGTTGCTCAACCGTTTGTGTTTGAATATCCATTGCCTAAAGGGTTATAATTATGCAACACAGATGCTATTGGTTAGCCCATCTACGGCATTTTGCATTGTTGATTGTCTTAAGTGCACACGTAATTCTATTTGTTTAGGTTGGCAGTAAACATCAACTGTAAATGGGAATAAACTGTTTGAAGCCTTTTTTTGAAGAATAGCTTGCTCTCCGGCAAGCTGATGCTTGTTGGAAAGTCATTTGGGTTTTGTTATTAGCCAACGTAGAATATTTCAAATTTTTACTGACAACTCAACGGAAAAAAAAAATGTCAGAATAACGGATTGGATCTCAAAAAAAACCTTGAAGTTGAGTCACTGGTATCTCAAGGTGCTTATACTTCCTCTCTCTCCAAATGACAAAAAAAAAAATTGATCACGATAGATGTGTGGAAATATCAGCAGTTAATTCAAGGATTAACGTGCATGTTTTATTTTTTTTCTTTGGCTTTTTTTGCAAAACTTGATTCAAAAAGCTATTCAGTCATCACAAGAAATAGGAGCAGACCACAAACAATCGTGGTTCCCTGAGCAAGAAATTTCTCTTTGCTTTTTCTTCTTTCTTTCTTTTTACAACACTCACAAGAGATGTCAGCGAATCATTAAAAAAAACACAACAACACAGTTCAGCAAGCTCCAGCCCGGCCGTGGCAAAAGTGAGGATAGTGGCACACAAAATGGACGGCTATGTTACTAAATGACAAGAACTGATGTTTCTATTTGCATCATTTTCTCAGAGAAAATTACGGTTCGACTTTCCTTTTTTTTTTTCCAATTAAAAAGAGTCTGTTGGCGGATCATGCAGCGAATATAAATGACACATTTTGCTTTCAGCTACCATGATTCCCCTCTTTTTTTTCTCATTAATCTAAAATAATAATTCATTCAGTAAACCCCAGCTGCTAAATCTCCACCAGTCCAGCCAATAACGGCGGGTGGCGGCTTGAGCTTCCAAAAGCGCTGATATGCTAAAATATTCCGCGCTGCAAAGGGGAACAAAATACCCACCAAAAAAAAAAAAAAAAAAAAAGCGGTGAGGCCGCACGGCAGTACTCCACCAAAAGCTTCATAATGGCCGTTAATCACCACTTAGATCGTGAATGGAGGATGTTAATTTTGGCACGGGCTGGCAATTACTCGGATTACGACACGGGCGCGAACGCTCGCGAGGCGCCAACACGCTGATGAAATGTCAAACAACATAAGAGCATGTCATTGCGCCGACACATGCTTCCCATTGCTCCGAGCTTTGCTCCTCTCCACGCGCCGTATCTAATAAACACATCATTTGCTTTCTATTATGGCTCCTACATGATCGCGCTTAATGAGAAAAGTTGGCGCAAATTGGAAGGCTCCCAACTTTTATTAAAAGCCAACATATTAAAATATTTGACAGGGACAACTGGATGATGTGGATTCATTTTCACCCCTGGTTCATTTACAGTGTATCACGTGTTGTTCTTTCATTTTTGGGTTGCAACATTTTGGATCGGTGTTGTGAGCATGCGAGATTGTTTTTCTGTCTTCAAGTCACTTGATCTCAACAAATCGTTGTAGTCTCCCGCGAAGCGACAGGTGACAACAAGATTATTCGTTTTGTCCCAGCAAGACCGATTTTGAATGACATGAAACACAAATTGGCTGGGTTCAGAAATCAGCCAGTACGTGCTCGTTTCCATTCATCTTCCAGGTTGTAGCCCAAAACGGTGTTTCCCAACATTTGAGCCAATGTACATATTAATTGTTAGAAAAAGCTCACGGCACACCACCAAAATGTCACCAAAAGCATATTGGCACTAAAATAATGATTATTTTGTCTCCCAAGTTTACTTCCTATGAAATCTGGACCTGTTGAGTTGAAAATAAACTATAATTGTGTTGTATGGATGGTAACAAACGGATGCACAGGTTAATTGTCCCTTTTGCCATTTAGCGGAAGAGCATTTCATTGTCACTATATGTCGCTGTCATAGATGACAGGTGAGCAAAAATCAAACCCTTTTTGTACTCAAGAAATAATAATTTTCAGAGCAATTCCGTGAAATTGGATAACTTTCCACATTTCAGGGTTAGCAAGAAAGCTAATGATTCCAAAATTTATCTTACCCAAATTGAAATCAAACATCAGCTCAGAAAAGTTCGACTATTTGCCGTTTGAACTGTTCTTTACATTATCATGCATCATTTCTCGAGGTCAGACCAAGAGCGCAACATATTTGCAAGAGTACATGGAGTTTTGGAGTTCCTTTCCTGCAGTTGCGGCGTACCACAAGTTATCGGAAATGCACTGTAGTCCGTCAATAATCTGCGGTAACAGTTAGCAAAGTGTTAATTTTCGTCTATATATGTAAGAAAAAAAAATTGTCGTTCAACAATTGAAAAACAATAAGAAAGGTATTCCTACACTAGTGCGCCTTTGGTAATCACAAAACCACGGACGCCCGTCGTCATGAACCGAGGACCTCTGTATACGCGATAGCAAATGTGGTTGAATGATTGTAGGTTGATTATCCTATAGAAAGGTAGCTGCAGTACGACTTTCTCGATGCGCTATGAGGCACTCGATTCAGTTATGTTAGCTGTAAATCACTGCAAGCCATTTTTCTTCTTCTGTGTCAAACCAAGACCACGAGAGATTATAAAAGAGATGAGATATATCAATAAAACGAACTGTTCATATCTATACGGAGTTTGACCTCGCTAGCTGAGGTTAAATGTCAGATTGATAAGCACACGGAGCAGCGTTGCACTGCACGGAATTGAACTTTTTAGTCGTGATTCCCGCTGCGGCAAAACAATGAGACTATTGATTTTTGAAGGACCCGTGATCCCAGACGGCAGGAGCAGTTTGAATTTGATCCGATCAAAAGCTGCGCGTTGTTGTTTTCTCCGCTCTGCTGGGCAGAGTTGAAACTGAACTTTAAACCTTCAGGCAAATGATGTCGATAAACAGTGCAAGGAAAGGAATGGAGGTTGAAGGATGTACGACATAACATGGCGGTGGAAGCTAATATCAAATGTCAGATGAAATTACTTTTTTCTACAGGGCGCAGGGAATGCTGATCTTGAAAACATTTAACTGTAACTATTACTTTTCATGTCAAGGCAAGAACCCCATCGATTTCTTTCAGATCGCAAGGGTAGAGGTGTGGTGTCAGAACTGAAATTAATTTTTAAATTGCAACCAAAAAAAAAAAAAAAGAGAGAGAACCTTATGGATTGTCACGGATCTAAAGGCGCATGCTACTTTCTCTACTAAGTAAGCGTGAAACATTCGTGCCGTACTGGCTCCGTGTCAAAGCACCAGTTGCTCCTTCAAGCACTTCATTGGCCTACTAATCATTTCAAATTGATCATTCAAATTGAAGGGGTATTGCATTTTCAGCCAAACAAAAATCCTATTGGTTACAAAGTATGTCTGATATGAGATATTGAAGGTGATTCGGGGTAGACCAGTAGGTCCATTTTGCTTTTTGAAGTGATTCAGGCTGCCGTTGGTCAAGACAAATTGATCGCCTGAAATATAAATTCAAACAAGGAACCTATTGATTTGGGATGATATCCTCGCCAAAGTCAAATCAGTCAGACTGACAAATTGCAATGTCTATCCTGGGCCAATTTTCCTCACCAGTGATCACTTCTCGGGGACTACTGTTGTCTGTGATATTACCCAGCAATGTTTTTTATTGCAATTTCCCAAAACACTTAAAATAAAAAAAATTAAAAAAAGAGAGAGAAGCTATTGTATGAAAAAAACAATGCAGATGACTGACTTTGTATCACCAGCGTGCGCCCTCTCCCATAAGCCCAATAGCTGCACCACAAAAATATGCAAAGCCGCTTGTCATGTCTGCAGGATTACAGAGTGAATATCTTCCTGCGGCAGAAGTGGAATGACCCCCGGCTGGCGTACAGCAAATACCCAGACTCCTCCCTGGACCTGGACCCGTCCATGTTGGACTCCATTTGGAAACCCGACCTCTTCTTTGCCAACGAGAAGGGCGCCAACTTCCACGACGTAACCACGGACAACAAGCTTCTGAGGATCTTTAAGAACGGCAACGTCCTCTACAGTATCAGGTGAAAGACGACAAAGAAATAATGTTGCAGTTCAGTCGCGTCGGGTCGCATCGTTCGGCGCGCTGCCGGCCTTTGGTCGCACTTTTCAGGCTGGCGCTTGCAATGATAAGTGACTGGTTAAAATGTGTTCTGCCTTTCACTGTGGTGCATTATTAATAGGTACCATGAAAAAAGGGAGACACAAATGCTCAGTGATTTTATTTAATTTTATAAGTATTTACAGTTAGTAGGAGTGTAACCTACGCAAGTGGTTGGTATCCTTCCTTTCTTGCATAAAAGTAAAAGTAGTTTTACTTACATGGTTGGCAAAATTATTAGTCTAATTTGTACAACATGAATATTAGTTCATTTCTTTTTCTTCAACATCGAAGGTTGAATAGAGTCACTTTAAATGAGATTTGATTCCATTGCAATTGTCCGCTTTGACATTCCGTAATTCACTGCATGTAGATTTGAGAAAAAAAAAACAACTTTTGATGGAATTGGTACATGGTAATCTCTGAGAGGTTTGTTAGGGACTGAAAGATTTTTTAAAAATAATAAAATGGAACGTCATGCCCAGTTTGCATGGATCCGTGGACTCCAAAAGAATTCCAGGCCGAACTGGGGACTTTAATTAAGGCCAAATAGTAAGTATGAAAATATTTCATTCCATTTCTGTATCACGTCAAACAGCAGCCCAATTCAATCTTCTCGACACAGAACTGAAAGCGTTTCAGTCTATTACGGAGGCTGCTCGGGGCTGAGTGGCGCTCGGGTGGAGAGGCGGAGCGGGTCCACGCCAGAGATGAAAGCTGGTTAGCCTCCATCACTGTTCGCGGGCAGGGAAAGATGGCAGGGGGGCCCAGTGGGTATCCGAATGCATCGGCGAGACAATAAGTTGCAGTAATGAAAGTGTGATTGGAAGCCGCTGGAGTGAATCGTTGCTGGTGTCTCCCGGTGGAGAGAACCCAAGTATCACTGCGCCACGCTTTACCTCAATGGCGATGCCCGCTTTCTATTATTTGTCTCTATTCATTTGCTTTCTCGTGGTCGTTCTAGGTTGACTCTCATCCTGTCCTGCCCGATGGATCTGAAGAACTTCCCTATGGATGTCCAGACGTGTACGATGCAACTGGAGAGTTGTAAGTATCCACTTTGGTTTGCCACCTATAGCGTCACATCTACCGTAGACTTTTGATTTTGGTCTCCCCGTAGTCGGCTACACCATGAACGACCTGATCTTCGAGTGGCTGGAGAACGGCGCCGTGCAGGTGTCAGACGGTCTGACTCTGCCTCAGTTCATCATGAGGGAGGAGAAGGAGCTGGGCTACTGTACTAAGCACTACAATACGGGTAAGCGGATGCCGCACGTTGCTGTATATGAACCACAGCGACGTGGTATCAGAAACCGGGCTCGCGATCTTTTCTCGACAGGCAAGTTTACTTGCATCGAGGTGAAATTCCATCTGGAGCGTCAGATGGGCTACTACCTGATCCAGATGTACATCCCCTCCCTCCTCATTGTCATCCTCTCGTGGGTGTCCTTTTGGATCAACATGGACGCCGCCCCTGCTCGAGTGGCGCTTGGTATTACCACCGTGCTCACCATGACCACTCAAAGCTCGGGCTCGAGAGCTTCGCTTCCAAAAGTAAGAGCATCATCACTTGTGGTGGCAAGTCGTTATATTCCTCAATTAAACTTGCAGAAGCGCCAAGAGGTGTCCTTGTAGGAGGAAACCGACAAAATGCGGCAGCATACAAGGTTTTCGGACTAACGCGGTACCTGCTGTCAAACGCAGAGTGGACAAGAATACCTTTGGTTAATGAACCACATGCTGCTTCACCATGTCGAGTCATTATCTGATCACATGCAATCGTCTGTTTTTGCTTTACTTTTTTTTCGCAGTTCCCAACTTTTTATTTTATTTTATTTTTTTAATAGGTAGACTTCCTCTCTTACAAAATGAAAGCATACTCGTCTTTTGGGAAAGTCTGCAGGTGTGAAGATTTAAAAAAAAAAAAAAAAAGACACTCTTGAAGTCTAACACCTGCCAGTGGATGCGTGATGCCTCCTAATGGTGCTTCCAAACACGCTGTCGGCCTTCGCCGATAGGGGAAAACTCCTTTCTCCAGATCTGATTGGGAACCTCTCCAGGATGTAATAAGTTCTCCAAAGGCTCACGCTCCACTTCCTCACCAAGTTGGATGAAAGTTGAAATGTTTTCATCTACTCTACGGAGTCCTTTTGCCTTCAATCAGAATCAGAATGATCTTGATTGGCCAAGTATGTAGAACACAGAGAAAGAATTTATCTCCGGTAGTATAGGCTACACTAGTATCGCAATAACAAGCAACTACGATTAACCAAGACATGACATCTAAGTATGGAAAGACTTTCCGTAATATAAGGGTACCGCCGTGCAGTCGTACCACCGAGTGACAATGTGCAGAGTCATCGAGCAGAGATCAGTGGTGCAATACAATATACAGTCAAACCTCGGTTTTCGTCCATAATCCGTTCCAGAAGGCTGTTCGAAAACCGAAACCACGCTCTTTTTTAAAAAAAAAATGTTTATTGAACACGTCTGCTCACAATGGAAAGCGACACGAAGAAGCGTCACTTCCTCGTCTACCCGAGGAAGCGTCACTGGGGTGATAAATGACATCAGTGGTGCTTTTCATCACGTATTAAAGCGGTCACAATTGTTAACGGTCATAAATGATAGATTTTGAAAAAAAAAAAAAGAAGGACTTTAGCAATTTTAGGATTAAAAAAAAATGTTTTCCAGTACGAATGGGATGTAATGTTACGGCCCCGGTAAAGCGGTTTTGCTCTAATGAGGCTTTTGGGCCGGCATTGCAGTTATCTTCAGTCTTAGCCAGCTCGAATTGAGCACAAGAACAGAGTTTCCATCCCAAGCGCACAACGCAAGTTACTTTCGAAATAAAAGGGAAGCTAATGAGAAAGTCATGTTAATCGCCAGCGCACTGGCAGTCACCTGTGCAGTTTCTATCAACTGCCTCTCGACGAACTCTTCCCTTTGTACTTTTTCAAGCAAAGTGTGAGGCGCGCGGTGCTGAGAGATCAGTGTTTTTCCAATTTGACTGAAGACGGGGCTTTTAAAGGCAGCATTCTGCCGGGGGACTCGTGCATATCTCGCTTCTAAACGCGCCTGGAAATTGTTCAATGTTGCTCGCAGTAAATGCATGAGGGAGGCACACATTGAGGATCCATGAAGTGATTAGTCTGTGTTTGTACGAGCGGGGGACAGCTCATCAAACACGTCGACGGTCTCGAACATGAAAGACACGTGGCGGTGATAAATATTTCAAATGAGGCCTTGGAGAGGCGCCACTCGTGAAAGCAGGAAGTCGGCGCGCTAGAGTGGTCTCATAAAGCTGAGTTGCGGCGTTCCGCGTGCTAAATCGGCGAGGTGACGCTGACGTACAGCTTTCATCTTCCTCGCGACGAGGACGAGGCGGTATCAACATCCAGCGATTGTTCGTGGCTGAGGCGGTTATTATCATCCCCAGCGCGTTTATTGTCACACAAACATCAATGCCGCACGAACCGCTTCTCTAGTTAGGTGTGCATAAGCAGAGAAACGTAGAGTATGATCCGATGTGATTCATTTAGAAAAATCATGGCAGGTAAGACTTCTTTTCATGCCAAAGCGCAATCGATTCGCTGGCCGGCCGGAGAATCTGGAATTCAAAAATGTTTCTCGCTGCCCGCAGGTTTCCTACGTGAAAGCCATTGACATCTGGATGGCGGTGTGCCTGCTCTTTGTATTTGCGGCATTGCTCGAATATGCCGGGGTTAATTTCGTCTCCAGGCAACAGAAAGAGTTCCTCCGCTTGAGGCGAAGACAAAGGAAGAATCACAAGGTAGACTCTCAACCTCGCTTGTTTACTGAAGTTTGTGCAGGCACATTGGAGCGATGAAGATAAGAAACGCATTGTCAACAGTGAGATTGCTTAACAACATTTGGATTTCTATTCTGTTTACCGTTGGTGTTTGGGGATTTAAGCCGATGGGAAAAGTAAATTGACAACAATGTGTCTCAACCAGTCCTGCATATTCTTATAATTTCATTAAATTATTCTCAAATTATTTTACGCATCTTTGAAGTAGCTTTCTGGCCATTTTAAGCTGGCTCCTATCATTACTAGCATATCCTGTACATGCAAAGATGTTGAAATGATATTGATTGAAGTGATCAATTGAAACCTGTTTCAAATTTGGTCCATTGAGTCGAATTGATTGAACGTTCGCATTTTAGGCAAGACGGGGAGTGTACAACTTAATTTCGTCTCGAGTAGTTTGCTGTTGAAAGAAGGAGAAGGACAACATGATGTCAGGCGCGGCAGTCTTCTGGCAAGCATTCGGTTGAAAGCCCCGTTTGGGAATGGAAACATATGGAGAACTCCCATTACATGAAAAATATTTTGAAATGAATAAGAAATGATCAGTTTTAAACAAAAGTATTTATCTTTTGATCTGAAACTCAAATGTCTTTGCAATTCCGTTGTTTTGCATCTCAACTTGCTCTAACCTCCCTCTTTTAGTAGTTTATGCCACCCGAGGTTTAATGTGTCCACGTTTTTTTTTTTGTTGTTGTTTGTTTTTTTCAGGATGAAGACATGCGTGACGGACGCTTTAATTTCGCTGGCTACAATATGAACCAGTGTCTGCCAAGCAAGGACGGCTCAGCTGTTAAGAATGCTGCTCCGGCCGCAAACCCTCAGCCGTCTGGCCCCAAAGACACTGACAACATGAAGAAGAAGTTTGTGGACCGAGCCAAGAGGATCGACACCATCTCTCGAGCCGCCTTCCCTCTGGCCTTCCTCATCTTCAACGTCTTTTACTGGATCACCTATAAGATCATCAGGCACGAGGACATCGACAAAAAGTAACGACTGCGCTCTTCTGCTTGTTTCTCAGACTTAAGATTATTGAGGAGCGCTGCCAAGTTCTTTCAGGGATAAAAAGTCTCATGTTCGTGAACCTTACGGGAATGTTCAGGTTGTACGGCTGCAAATACTGAATTAGGGAAAACTTGGGGGGGTGGGCAGGTGGGGGGACTCAAGGTTTAGTAGCATTCCGGTTACGGTGGACCAAATCTTTTTCTAACCCTTCTTTGCCTTGAGGTCTGTACAACTAAGATACAATTTGTAACTGTGCGGTAACTTCGTTTGAAACTCTGAGACTTTTCCAGGTTGCCACGGGAGGAACTTCTTATCGAAAGGGATTTGTTTTGTATCCTACGACTGTCACAACACTTCCTTTAAAGACAATATACTGTAAAGAGAAAGTTGTATTATATAAGAGACGCAAAAGCACATGCGGCCATGTTATATTATGGATATGCGTTTGTAATAATTCAAGGATCTCCCGATTAAAAGGGGTCTTACCAGGTTAAAATATATACCGTATTGGCCCGAAGATAAGACGGCCCTGATTATAAGACGACCCCCTCTTTTTCAAGACTCAAGTTTGAAAAAAGACTTTTTGAACACCAAATTAATTTTTATACAGAAAATAATTACAGTACATCTGAAACAAATGATTATAACAATATATTTGAGAAAAAAAACATCTTGAAGTTTACACCATAACTTCTCCTTAGCTGCCGGTTAACCTGGCCGATCTTTGACCCACTTTTCTCCAGATTGTCGCTACGTTTCTCCATTTTCTGTTATCTCTTCTATTATTTTCTTCTCTTTTCTTTCTTACCGCTATTTTTTATTTTTCTTCTTCATGCTACCGCTATTTTTATTTTTATTCTTTGTGACAGGGGTTCGCTTTGGCCTGGGGAGTCAAGTTCAGCATTCGCTTCAATGATATCTGGCGCCATCTAGCGTCGTGAATGGGTATAATGTCTAGACCCCGAATATAAGACGACCCCCACTTTTTCAGTCTTATTTCAATGCAAAATACACCGTCTTATATTCGGGCCAATACGGTATATGTCTTGAATTCCTTTGGATCTTCACTTCCGGAGGTAGGCTTTGGCTACAAAAATAGTGTGACATCATCATCAAGAGAATACAAAAAAAAAGTATTCAAAAAGGATGGGGGACAACCAACATTTCTTTGAGATATGATGTGACTTCCTATTTTACAATCAACAGACTGGAAAGTAGCACCAACCTTTAGGTACCGCACCACCGCAACCTGTCAAAAATGGTCGGCTTACTGATTTCTGACAATGAAAAAGAAAAGTGGAGAGAGAGGGGAAAAAAAGGGATCTTTAATGCTTGGTGATCATGGGATTTTTGTCCTTTCCCTTTTTTTTTTTTTTGCAAGCTTGTGAGTGTTTGGAAAGACATTATTTCACAATACAGGTTGTCATAAAAGTCACGATAACACGATGTCTTTCTATTGTGGTTATTCGGACAGACGTGGGGCCATTAGCATGCGTGAGCTTAGACTTTGCAGTTTTTGTAAGCATTGCTTTCTCTTGCCCATGGCTCACCAGCAAGATGTTTTTTTAACCAACCCCTGCAAACACACATTACCTCGCTTTGCGCAAAAACCTGCTCTGGAGTTTACATTGGTAAGCCCTCCGAACAGATTCTGTTTTGACAAACTTGCCACGCATAGCGTAAAAGAAATGCGTTGGAGCTGAGTGACAGCCGTAAAGTTTCCCAAAATGGTGTCGAATTACAATCGGGGACAGCCAAACCTCTGGTTACAAAAAGTGCGACACCTAAACTTGTCAAATGCTGACGGTCTCGCTAAGCCAATACGAAAAAAGGAAGTGCATCGTGACTTTTGGGACGCACTGACTAAAGCAGGGCTTTCCAAATTTGGACCCTATTATTATTTTATATTTAATTATTTTTATTGTGCCCTCGACAATGAGTATAAAATACTCATCCGCTGATCACTAAGAAGGCACACAATTTCTTTTTGACCGATGTGTACATGTCATCATTTTTGTAAGTTTGGGTCCCAGGAAGGAACCAAGTTTCTACTTTGAATCTTGAACTGAAAAACTTTCGGGAACTCTGACAAACTATTTTCCAGTTTCAAAAGACATTTTGGGTGTAACATAGTCCAAGTAAATCACCAGATATCTTTTTTTTTTCCAGGGTTTTTTTTGTAGCGTTAGTCCAATGAGCTATAACTGAAGGAAGGAAGGCTTGGTTATTTGAAAAATAAATGACCTTCCTGTATACTCGTCTCGCAACGGCCGTGTACCTTTTGACATGTCGGAGAGCTGCGGCAGTGGGCGGAAAGGACGACACTGAAACTGTCTAGCACGTATTCTATAGAACTGCTAATGGACCTGAGGAACTCTTTCTTTGAATGCTCCTATTGAAAATGTTTATTTATCAGGCTGAACGTCAATAAACAGAACTGCACCACATTTGCTTCATTTTTCTCTCGCCTCATGGAAGGTCAGCTCAACCATACGCATTTATGAAAGAAAAAAAAAAAGATACACTTTATATTGCTTTTCTGTCATATAAGATCTCAGCGGAAAATAACAGACAAATGCTGCTTTGGCCCGATGGCGGGTCAGATAAAACCTCTCATCTCACCGAGGTGATGACGCGAGCCATGGATGACTGCGTGGCCTGGGGTAGTGTGGATATTATCTGACGGTGGGTTTCCTCCAATGCATAATAATGGACCTTCACCATTGTGCTAGCTCAAGTATGATCGGAATGGAAAATCCCCCGCGTCTGGTTGCAAAAACAGCAGAATGCCCATTTGGTGTAAAAAAAAAGGCTCATAAATATGTTGCGATGTGCTTGGCCAAAAGCCGTGATTATACAGCATATACAACGCATAAGGAGACAGGTGAGTGCAGCTCTTTATAGGGGCAGATTAACTCCTTGGAACGACACGATTTTATGCAGCCCTGCATGAAGAGCAAATACGACAAAGTCTTGGAGCATAAATATGCAAGCCTGCGTGAGTCACCCGGCGCAAATGACAGGAATTGTACACTAATCAATAACATTAATCCTCATGTAGAAAACCAATCAATTCCAAGTTTACATAACAGCCCATTAATATTTTTTGAATTATGTAAAGCAAAGGGGCAGGGGGGGGTGGAGTCATTACGGCGTGTGACAGCGCCTGAAAGAAAAATTAGTTTCAGCTGCTAATTGCGTTGAGGATCGAAACAACTTTGGTGTACGGAGGGAGGGAGGGGGGGGGGGCGCTTTGTGAGCAACCTGAGGTGAGAAATGAGAGTTGCCATGGCAACAGCAACCAATCGAGAAGGCCAAGGAGAGATTGAGAGCAAATTGTTTGTCGCGCCTGTGCATTATTTAAGATGAACGCTATTGTGGCTCAACATGAAAAGTGCAGTGAATTAAAAATAAACAACCGTGGGAAAATTAGGACGGTACAACCAGTTGAATATGGGGGGGTTCCCACGAGTTTTGCAGCCCCCAGAACTTTTCTCAGTGCCCCATTTCCTTGTGCGCCCATAACACTAACAAGCTACTATTGTGAAAAAGAGGCTTGGCTGCCACGACTTTGATCATCTCTTCTACTCTTACAAAGTTTGTCAGAAAGGTTCCAGAACGCGTTGTCACAAAAGAACTATTTCTAGTCCTAACTGCAAGGTTTCCCCTATGAAGAAATTCCCCTGGAGTCAAATGCACTATCCCAGCCTTTTCGACAACACCTTCATAACCTTCCAGGAAGGATTCTTTTAGGATCCTCCATTGTCATTTCATCTCATCATCTTTTAACATTGCAGACATGTTGAGCATCTCAATCCATATGGTTCTAAATAACAGTCATGATTTGATCTTTTACCATCACTACTGCAAGAAAGATACACCGCGGACAAAAGGTTCGGGATCTTCGGCTTTCAAATTCAATTCCAGGCTGAACTTAAAAAATGCACGACCCATTTTGAAAATGGGACACTGTTTAGCGTTGTGCATGTAAGGAATATAATGCTACTATTATTAGAACATCAGTCTGGGTACAGGAGGCCATGCATTTGACCCATTATTCATTTTTAATATCTTTGTGCGCCGATGCACATATTGGTTTCATGGTACAGATACAAGGGTCTTGAGTTGGAGTTTTTGTGTAGTTGTGGTTTACAGTAGAACTTCACTGCGTCATATAGAGAGCCGTTGCTAATATTTTGGTTCATTCATCGAACGAGTAGCAAATTATTCTTTCTAGGAATGGCAATTCCCCAGTCTGCTTATTCTGTTCAAGGTTGGAATAGGCTGGAGCCTAAATCTGGGCAAAATGCACACATGGACTGGATTGACTTAACAGAAAATTAGCTGTTAATTAATCATTACATTTTATCGTAATTTTCTGAATGAAACAGAAAAATCTTGAATGTTCGGAACTCCTGTTTCCGTGCCAGTCACAACCCGTTCTACTTCTTTAGGTCACCAACTCCCAGTAGTTGAAAATCAAAGTAGAGCGCACTCCATTTTGCAATTCCAATTTCTGCTGGCCATGACAAATCAATTCAACGCAATTGATTGTTATTATGCCTATCGTAGTTTCTTTTTAGGAGATGGACGCTGAGTTAAGGGACATGTTTTTGTCACTTTGTCACATTTTGAGAAAAAGTTTGACGTCCAAAATAATTCATACCCTTCCTCAATGCATGCATATTCAATGTTCCAAACATAAAGTTGATTGCAATGGTCTTGATAATCCAGCAAATGTACCAAAAAAATAAAATAAAATAAAATCATGACTATGCGCCCACAAATAAAATGTATTATTATTATTATTATTGTTATCTAATATAATTTCTAAGTAATGTGCTTCTTTTTTTCTCGGCTATGATATTCTTTTAATGTGCCATCATTTTCAAAATCATTCTGTTAAGTGATAAAAAATAGTGAGGCATGATGCTTGGGTAGAGAAAATACAGACATATACAGTATTTGTATGAGTCCCCTTTGGTCAGTTTATGATAGACTTCTGGTCCGGTCAATCTGAAGACATCTTGTGCAATTTCACAGCAGCATCGTACATGAAACTGCATCGTGTCACCAGAAAGAAAACGATTGAACCGTGAGGTGGAAGAACCAGTAAAAGCTTTCCCTTGTGCAATTCCGCCACCCTCCCACCGTCATTTCTCACTTTGGGGTGAAACTAGAGAGCATCAACAAATAGTGTGAGGACACAAAGTCTGGAGGATTAAAACGAGCAGCGTGCAGCAGATTGCAGCGATGGCACCTCGGAGGTGATCAAGTGGAAATATGCTCAAGCGGAGACAGGATGTGATAATAAAATGGAATCAAGTCAGCATCAGTTTGCTCTTGGAGGCCAAATAATTTTTTTTTTCCCCAGCAGTAATAGCATTATTTCATCTGAGTCTCCATGAGAGCTGCTAAATCCCCATCAAGTTGGGCATCAGTCAGCTTTTGAATAAACTCGCGATACCTTCTCACATCCACACGTGGGTTTAAATTCCGCATACTCCTCTCCGCATCCCGTTGCCAGGCGAGTCGACACCTCTGGAGCCCTTCCGGAGTGCCCGGTTCGGGGATCTCCTTGGACCCCGTCGCCCTCTCCTCACCTTCCTGCTCCCCACGCAGCAGAGGTGACACAAACTCCCGGAGTGACGCCACTTCCTTCTCCAAAGCCAAAGCCAGTACCTCAGATGACCCCTCTTCTCTTAGGCCGCGGATGGGCTGGATGGAGCAGGATGCTGGGAGGTAACCTAGCAGGACATCCAGATGCTGGAGCATCTGCAATTGGCTGGCAAAGAGCAACAGAGCCCATTATAAACCATTGATGGTGAACTCATATGAATACAATCCGCTCAGTTTGTATTTTATGTGGCCCAACAAACTTTGAAAACAAAATACAGTGATGAAGCTCTTGAGGTAAAAGTGACGATATGACTGACAGTGTTTCTCGATTTATAACTTGTCATTTCACTTATTTACAGATTTATTCTTGAAACCTGGCCCCTCCTGCCATAAAAGTCCAGTTGTGACTTGACTGACAAGTTTCACTTGTTCCGCGACCAAGCTAGTAGCTCAATACGATTCGCATCTCAAATCAGTTTTCGCCACTGATATGAATAGAAATACCATTCGGCCATTGCAGCATCCCCCCCGCAAATTTTGGTAATGTCCATTTTTTTCTTAAGAAAACATTTATTTTATCATACTGTAAAATATATATTTAGAATAAAAAAAGAATTAAACAGTTTGGGGTGGACCGGTGGTCCAGTGGTTAGCGCGTTGACCTCACAGTGCAGAGGTTCAATTCCAGCTCCGGCCTCCCTGTGTGGAGTTTGCATGTTCTCCCGGGCCTGCGTGGGTTTTCTCCGGGTATTCCGGTTTCCTCCCACATTCCAAAAACATGCATGACAGGCTGACTGAACACTCAAAATTGTCCCTAGGTCTGAGTGTGATCGCGGGTGGTTGTTCGTCTCTGTGTGCCCTGCGATTGGCTGGCAACCGGTTCAGGGTGTCCCCCGCCTACTGCCCGAAGACAGCTGGGATAGGCTCCAGCACCCCCCGCGACCCTTGTGAGGATAAACCAGATCGGAAAATGAATGAATGAATGAACAAACAGTTTGTGGATCATGATTAGTTCACTGAGCAGCGCCGTCTGGTGCGCACACGTTGGCTACCAGGATACCATGCAGAAATCATGCACATAAAGAAGACGGTCACAACTGCTCAGTGAGCTGCAGTAATGATGCAGAGGATGAAAAATAGAGTTTCCTCACTTTTCATGGGTGATACCCCGCATTAAGTGAATTTCCATGAAATACCGGTTGATGTTTATTTCTGTTTTTTGGGGGGATGGTGACCCCTGAGCTTGATGGATAGATGGATGATAGTTACTTTACTGCCCACCCCCTCCATCTATTTTCAAAAACAGTTATTTCGTCACTTTTTTTCCCTATTTCTTTTACAAAACGATCAAACAGGTAGACCACGCAAACGTTCCAAAGTACTTTTCCTCGATTCATATAAACAAACTCCTTGCCAGCCAGAGTGCTCTGCTTTTGGCACCACAAATGCACACTTCTCACCTCGAGTGGACCGCCAGTTCCCCGTGGAACGGACTGATGCGCCGCCAGCACAGCAGCGAGAGAGAAGAGAGTCCTTGAGAAGCAAACATTCGATGCCGAGGGCTCACTTCTACCCTCTTACAGCCCACTCTCCTCTGCAGCCAGCCGTCAATATCGCCCAAGCTATGATTGGGAGAGTCTATGCGGAAGACCCAGTGGTCTAGCACCGCCAGCAGACACAGCAAGTCCTCTTGAGCCTCGTCTGGGGTAAAAAATAAAAATAATAATAATAAATAATAATAATAAAAGGAATGGTCAATATGGTGTTAATGGAAAAGTGGAAGCGGCCATGCTATAATACAATGGTAAAAATAATGGTGACATTTTTTTTTTTTGCAAAGAAAATGTCTACTTTTACAAGGGAAAAAAAATCGATTTTAGTAATCAAGTATGAAAATATTCCTTTGGTGAATTTTTATTAATAAGGATGGAGTCTTTTTCACAAGAAAGTAACAATACTACAAGATGAAAAAAAAAACTTGTACTGTACATGGGCCAAAGTCATAATATTAGAGGGATTAAGAGTTCAATTCACTTGAAAAGTCAGAATTCAAGAGAATTGGATCGCAACAGCACAAAAATAAAGTGAGAAAACAGGGACCGGTTATCTTAGAGGAATTAAGTTTACAAAGTCAACAAAGTTGTAATTGTATTACTTTTTTTTGTCTTATTTTGGGGGGTGGGACGGGGTTGTAATTTTATGACTTAGAATATCTTCGAAATTGCATCCATTTTGTGATACATATAAAATAATCACAGGCAAAATATTTCTTTTTATTTTACAAGAATAGTTGCAATATTGAAAAAAGTTAAGTTTGGGAAAATTACATTATAATATGAAATGTAATTTGACTAAAACGAATCCAAAATATTTTTTTAAAAACTAATTTGAGAATAAAGTCATATTTAAGAATTAAGTCATGAGAATCCAAGCACCTGTAATTTTTTTCCAAGAATAAAGAAAAATGACTGCCAACCTCGAACTGACTGTAATGGAGAGATAACTTTATTTCTAACCATTTGATCAGGGAAAGTTGCTTTAAGATAGAAGAAACTGTCAGTCAAGGTGCTACTTGCACTCCTATTCGCATCAAATGAATGTTAAATAAACGACTCGATAAATGTGTGATTTGGTTTCCTTTTTAGTGTCACCCTCCTAACAATTCAAACCTCATTGCAATGTACCTGTTTTAAGCTCAGGGTTGTTCAACAGTTGAATTTTGAAGTCTGCGTGGATGTCGACAGTGAGTTGACCACAATGGTAGACAATCGGTGTCGGTACACCGGCGAGGACTGAAGCGTCTCGTCTCGGGGCGTAATGGAGCATGACATTGCACTTGACACAGCCAGAGTTCAGCAGAGGTGCCAGCCTGGTCACGGCAGTCACGGCGAGTCTGGCCGTGTTGAAATCATTCGGGCCGCCCGCGTCGTGCCGCTTGCTTCTTTTGGCTGCCGGCTCAGGGAAGGTGGCGGCCGAGAAGGAGGAGGCGGAGGGTGAGGGACCGAGCGCGGGGAGCCACAGCGCTTGGCTTTGGGTTTGGATGACTGCGGGCGTGGAGCCGTGGCCCGCCTCTGTCAAGATGGATAAGCTCGTACCGACCGCTGGTCTGGAACAAAAATAGTACAACGCTAAGGACCGCTGACATCATAGGGACAGTCGTGCAGATGTGTGAGTGTGTGTGTGTGTGTGTGTGTGTGTGTGTGTGTGTGTGTGTGTGTGTGTGTGTGTGTGTGTGTGTGTGTGTGTGTAGAAATACAAGCTGGTGATTAACAACAACATTCCAGATGGTGAGAATACATCAGAAATTGCAATGACTCCTGAGGCAATGGATTTCTCTACATGTGCCGGAACAGGTGGCGGGCGATATCAGATTGCTCCCACAAAAGGACAATGTCAGGTTATTTCACAGGGGGGGTGTTGCCATAGCAACCACCTGCATTTGTCTCAAATTCACATAAGACTGCAGGCAACCAACAATTATGAATGATACTTTATCTACGACATTCTGTTTGCGAACAGATGTGTTTGATGTAAAACTTCAGCTCATATTGTAGGTGAAACTGTACAATGGACTGACTTGCACCTAAACCGAGTCATTGCACATTTAGACATCAATTGTATTCAAGTTGCAGCAAACTTCAACCAAAATCAACAGATGAAATCAATCGCTCTCTGATGGGATTCGACAATGAAAGGAAATTACACTGAGCCGCCGGCAGCAAGTATCACTCCCACGACCATTCGTGCGTCGACGACGCGATGCCACAGCTTGTCAACGTGAGGTCTGCAGGGCACCGCTGGCACGGCTTGGGTCTCGTCATCAGCGGCCTCGTCCTTTGACTCGTCATCACTCTCCCAAAGAGCGACGAGTGCTTCCTGGAAAGAAAAACGATAATGACTAACGACAAGTGTAAGACAGCCGTGACAGCAAAGGCGGTTTGGAGTTTAGATGCCAACAAGAGACAATTAGGGTACACAAGGGAGGGAGGTGACCTTTTTGCATTTGAGCAAGAATCAACATTTTGCTGCGCTGCTGCAAGTTGGCAACAAGACTTTGTGACATTTTGCCTCATCTTTTCCCTCGCTGTCTGTGGCGGCGTGACAAACACCGACTGTCGTAACTTATCAATATGAGTGACAGGTGGAAGCGCGAATCTAATGATTAGGGTGGGCTGGCAGCGGGAGGGACTACAACCTCACTGATTCAAGATATCTTTTACAGTGCGGCCTTCAAAGGCAAATGACTCAAAAGGGTGGTAAAAATTCAAGTCGAACTAAAAGTCAAACAAAACAAACAAACAAAAAAAAAGGGGGCGGGGTGAGACATTAAATAGTGACAACCCTACAAGTGTGATCTTTGTACGCACATCTGGGTAGTACCTGCTCTGGCTGTGTGAGCTTCGGCTCTCGATGGTGCACCACATCAGTGAGCGCTCGCACGGACTGCTGCACAACTCTGTCCTTCACTCTCACTTCTCCTTGAAGCTCTTGCAGCACACTCAGTCCACTCTTGAGAGACAGATGACAGTCACATGAGAGAGGAAGTCAAAAGACATGGGTCAGTAGTACAAAAATGTGATGTCGGGATTGCAACTTCAGCAGTGATTTTTTTTTGTATGTCACCTGCAGTCTGGACTCCAAAGCTTGAATTGTGAGGAGTTGGTTGGCTGGTGGAGGGGGCGTCTTCACTGTTGCGCCGCTGTGCTCGCCACGCTAAAATTGCAACATGTTGCCATTCTTGAGATTAAGTGACAATTTTTTTTCATGGTTTCTTTCAAAACTTTCAATGTGACTTGGGTATTGTGGTCCTTATCCGAAGAGCCTTCTGGAAGGTGGTCTGCTAATAGACCTTCGAAAACAAAACTGTGAGGTAACAACTGGGACGGTAAACATTAATCAAATGGCGGATTTTGGTGTCATTTGAATCTTTTTGGGGGGTTCTTCCCATTACATCCCTGTTGTCACAAGGAACTGCTGAGTCTCATTTTGTAATGGACTGCTATAAAAAAATCTAAATAAAAAAATCAACGTAACTTCTTTCAGGACATTTTAGCAATCAAGCAGCAATGACTGATTCGGTTTTCCTTACAGAAAAGGAGATCCCGCAGAGGTCAGTTATGATGAAATGTTCCAGCGGCTGCCCCGATACGCAATCATCCTTAAAAATCAACAATATCTGCTCTGTACCGCATCCGAGATAGTCATCCACGTGCACAGAGAACACGTTTGACCACTGGGCGGCTATCTGCAAAAGAAAATTCAGACAAACCATATTGCAATGAATGCATCAGTTGAAACAAGACACGAACATCACTTTCAATACAAGATGCGATTCGCCATCAATTCCTTTTCGAAAGCACTTCACCTCATTCGGCTCATGAGTGAGATAGAGCCTAGTCTTCAATTAACCTAACGTGCACTTTTTTTGGCTTGTGTGGTTCAGGTGGTAGAGCCGGTGTCTGCCAAACTGTAGACTGTTAGTTAGCGCGTCTGCCTCCTTGTTCTTAAGTTGTACCCAACCTCTTTCCCAGATTCCAGGTCTGGTCAACAAGGTCTAGTGGGATAGGCTCCAGCTCACTGGCCACTGTAATTAGGATAAGCGCTATAGAAAATGAATAGTGCATTGCCACTGCGCGAGATAACTTGAAGGCAGCACATGCGGCTCGTACGTACTTGAAATGTATCCTTCCACACAGCACACACATGGCCCCCGTCGAAAGATATAACAAAGATGACTCCATTTCTTCCGGTGTAGACCACCTGTATGTCTTCAGGTTTTTCGAACGGGAGTGCGCATGTGTCTTCCACCACGCCGTTCTCCAAATAAATCAGTTGTTGATTGGAAGTGGCTGCAAGCACAGTGCAGCGCAGCAGGCTGCCTGCTTGGTGGGCTGACAGCACGGAGATGCACTTAGTGATGCAAATATAAGGGGGAGGTAAAATCACAGCGCCGTCAAAGGTGAGCCCGCTCCCAAGCAAATACGCCACAGTCTGCTGAGTGGAGCACTGTTGTTGTCCCAGTATGAACACTTGTCTCTTATGGAGGGGAAGCTCACCGATAAGACAGTGGGACAGTTGTAGGGGCACCCGTTTGATCCCTCCTGAATCACTTGATGCATGAAACACAGCATCAGCATGTGTCCACAACACTGTCGGTCCCTGGAGGATGCAAACGTCCCCGCTTGGCTTGTAAGGGAGTGAGAACTCAACGCAGGGCTCCAGCTGGCTTGCTCCACTTAGAGTGAAAAGTTTATAGAGAAAAAAGTCCGCCTTCTTGTTCTTTTTTGCCACAAGGACACACGGCGCGGTGGTCCTGCTATGAACACACAAGACGCTTTTGGACTTTATGAAGGCGTCCACGCGTGCTGCACTTTGGTGGCTGATGACAGCCGCTCCTTGTGATGTCTGCAGGAACACCGCTTGCTCCGGTTGGAAAGAAAAGCCACGGCACGTCAACTCGCTTATCACTCGATTGTCACTCAAGGCGTGATTAAATGTGATTATCTTACCACAAAACGAGAGTTGGTTCGAAGTCGAAATGGCGCTCTTCATGATGCATTTAAACAACTATAAGACGCATGAGTCATGTAATTTCCACTGGGTTTATAATGTGATTCTCGTGTTTATAGTTTTAAAAGCGTTTAAGTGACTTTCTTTCGGACTCGTGTCACTCGAAAACGCGCGCCAACCCGGAAGTGTCTGTGCATGTCAGACAAAGTGCATTGTGGGAGTTGCGTTTTGTCAACAGAGGTGTGCTCACCGGCTTAAGCTAACTGGTTTACCCTCCGTGATGCTACCAGGCGAAAACGCACGGGGCCTCGTAAGCGATTGATTCCTCGTTTTTTTTTTTTAATCTCGAACACAACGACACACTCCTTCCTTCCTTTGTCCCGTTGCAAAGCAAGAACAAAGCGAAGAGGAGTGGCCAACGAGCTGACCCAAAATGGCTTCGATGGGGCGTCAGTTGCCCACTGTACGGTGATTCATCCAAACTGCAGCTCGGTAGCGAGCGAGCTAACGAGGAACTAACTATCCGAGGGAAGGAAACGCGCCGGTGACAGTTGAACATGGCTGAACCTGACCAACTCAAAGGAGAGCAGGTATTCCAACTGTGAAATGTGAAGATGGAGCGTAGATTCCAATGTTGTTTTGCTTCTTGAACGCGTGACTAAACTTCTACAAACTCTAATGTGGCAGGGCATTGAAGAGAAAATTGAACAGACGAGAGAGAGATTCAACAACGAATTCCTCAAAGGTAAGGGACTGATGGTCTTTCAAGTTGTCATTTGACTCATCTTTCACACCACATTACACTTGTTTGCATACACAAACCAGCTATTACATGTGAAATATCCGTACTTATGTGCCTACGATTTAAGCATGGCAAAACACCACGGTGATCGCATCATGAAACGAAGAGTCCAGATAAGCTTCAAATGAACAGCTAACTAACGGTGGCCACTGGTCACACACCCTTAATTCACTCAGTCTACATTTATGCTCGTCCCAATGTCAAGTCAAGTACAACTTTATTGTCAAATGTGCAGATGAAATTTCTTCCCTCTCAAGACAACATAAAACAAGAGGAGCCGCTGCGGGTGTCCGCGCCGCCATCAATAGAAAAGTTCACATAAAATGACAAAATAATAATACAAGACAACGCATTAGACACAGACAATCGTGCAATCTAACCACTTTCCTGCATACACTTTGTAGTCTGAAGCAGTTATAGATGAAAGAGGAGCGAATCAAAGTGTCCTTTTCACCAGTGGATCAAAGACGTCATGCTGCAATATGCACACGTCTGCTACAAGCTAAGCTTGAAAGCAACAAGAAGCTGTAGCATCCACGAGCGAAAAAGAGAGATGTTATGGTCAATGTATTTCATCTAATTCTCAACACGAAACAAAAACGAGGGGACTTTTTTTGAATGACAACTCAAATGGCCCCTTTGCTTTAAATAACAATATTTTCAGTGCTTCCCAATATTTTTTGGAGCCAAGAAACATATATATGTGCCTTTTTTCATTCAGTGGAAAAGCATTTTGTTTTGCCTTTCAATATACGTCACTTGCCCAAATAGATGTACAACAAATAATACATTGGTGTTTATCATTTTCAGAACCCCTTACAGTACACTGGGAGTTCCCTACACTCATGTATGCTACATATTTCGTGAAGCACTTGTGTAATTCTTAAGTACATTTGTGCATTATCTGCCAGATGATTAACACAGCTTGTGGAGTTAAAATTGTCAATTTAAATGTCAGATTCATCAGACAAATATGACCTAAGAGATGTGGACAGACTGCAGAAGGACAACTCTATGGTGGAGGGCTACCTGATGTGGCGACTCTACGTTGTGGACGACGCCTTGAAAATGATTGATGAGAGTTTCCAGTGGAGGAAAGAGTACGGCGTGAACGGTGAGGGAAGCTGGGGAGGGGGGAAACAACGCTGCCCCATCAATGGGACTGTTGATGTCACCTCGGTCGATGGTTGTCAGATCAGCGCCTTTCTCGCTGTTTCTCAGAGATTGAGCCTCTACACACAAGAGTTTCATTGTGCGTTAAACATCCTGAATGGGCAGCCTCTAACAACAAAACCTGCTGTCTAAATGTCCCGAGGGTTGCCTTTGCTCCGGGGAAGTCTTTAATCCGGCAAATGAAAATTTTCAGGCCTTTGTGTTGACCGGAATGTGATTTAAAGAACGGTGCCGAAGAGGTTTGGATATCATTCTTCCTTTGGTCATTCATAACTGATTGTTATTCACCCTTGAAATCAAACACTCATTCTTCACTCACTTGTGATCTCAATGAAGTCAACTTGTCAGACTAGTTTTAGTTCCTTTCCTCTACAGGTTGAGGTTACACACCCCTTTAAAAAAAACTTCAAAGCATGACGACCGGTGGATTCAGGCAGCTGAGACAGCGCTTTGCGCTTTCCTAACACGAGCCACCCTTGTCGAGTAATTGTTTGACAGGATTGTTTTCCTCCCTCAGATCTGTCGGAGAGCTCAATTCCCAGGTGGATGTTTGAGACCGGGGCAGTGTTCCTCCATGGCTACGACAAAGAAGGCAACAAGCTCTGTATGTATGACACTTGAGCTGTTTTCCTTTCACCCTTTTGTTGGAATAACAAAAAGATATTTCATGCAAATGACAGACAATAAAGTTGGCCTCTGCTTACTGTTCCCCAGTTTGGTTTAAGGTTAAACTGCATGTGAAGGATGCAAAAACAATCATCGACAAGAAAAAGTACGTGGCTTTCTGGCTGGAGCGAAATGTCAAGAAAGAACCCGGGATGCCCTTGACGGTCGTTTTTGACATGTCAGAGTCTGGCCTGTCCAATATAGTAAGTTTTGTTTTGGAGGTTTTATTCAGATTGTGGGAAATAGGTTCAAGCCGGTAAAATGCTGGAAAGTCGTCATCTTCTTCCCTGCTTTGTGCTCGCGGGGACTGACGATCTTCAGTGGTTTTACTCTTTGGAGATTACTTTTAAACCCCGTTGTTTATGTTGGGGGGGGGGGGGGTTCTAATCCATGGACGCGCCGTTTCACAGACGTGAGCGAGCTCCCGCACACAGTTCCTCCAAGCGAACAAACGAGTTTCAGACCTAAAGCAGCAAGATGCATAGAAAGAGAAACAGAAGACGCTATTTGGCGTGCATACGAAATGAGGAGGTTGGAAAATCCGATCAAAAGGCAGAGCCTCAGCTTGAGCCGGCGCATCGCTTGTTCAGTATGATCTTGTTAAGGCCGAGGAGCGCGTCGACTGCATAGCAATGAGGACTCCTGCCAATTGTGGAGCCCAGTCAGGGCGCAAGGGGGGAGTAGGCAGACATACAGTAATTGTATTTTAGTGTTAGTGCTGTGTAATGAAAACACAGCAACATGTCAAATTTGGATATTTTTATTGTCGCATCACACAAAAAGAGTGGATGTTAAAATTCCCACGCAAACCTAAAAGAAACAAAAAATGACTCATAAAAATGAAGACTTTGCTTTTGCAGAATATTACAGTAATAAAGGCAACTTTATTACTATTATTTCTACATATAAGGACAATGCTGTTTGGTTTGGCGCACAAATTGCTCTTCTAAGGCACGGCAATGTAGTTTGTAAAAACGACATAAAATGTTTTGGGTTTTTTTTTGTTTGTTTGTTTGTTTTCTGAGCTGGATCTTATTAGTTATGTAATATAAACAAGTAAGTGTGGATACGTGTGGAAATAGGTCTACATTGCCGACCATCCAAAAGACGCTTTTATGATGCCACATAGATATACAACAACGATTAAAGTCTCACTTTGTTGCAGGACATGGACTTTGTGAAGTATGTTGTAAATTGCTTCAAAGTATATTATCCCAAGTTGCTCTGTAAGTAAAACCTTCATTTTTCCACATTTCTCACTTTGTTTTGCGTGTATTTGAGTTCAAATGTCATCATTATGTGATTTCAGCCAAGATGATTATTGTGGAGATGCCCTGGATCATGAATGGTGAGATAGTCAGTCAGCCCCAGCGTCTTCAGTGTCAACATTTCAACCCTGAAACCCACCGGCCCCTCTTTCTCCTTCATGTAGCCGCGTGGAAGATCGTCAAGACTTGGTTGGGTCCGGAGGCCATCAGCAAGCTTAAATTTGCATCCAGATCTGAACTGCAGTCGTACATCGACCCAGAGTACCTCCCGCCTCACATGGGTGGAATGGTATGTTGTAGTGCACCGTTTGCAAAAGTGTCAATTGCAAGAGAAGACATTTTGTGTTGTATAAAGCAGAGAAATAACATTATTCATTCAGGGACACATTCACGATTTCATGACTGCTTTAATATTCACATGTACGAGCCCTGTCCGATTACATGAATCATTGCAATATTTCAAGTATTATCACCAATCGTCAGTAGAGCATTCCGTTGACCACAGTAATGTGTCATTCAAAACTGGGAAATTATTTTCTTTCAATTCAAAACGATCTCCTGCAATGACACAAGCTCCTCCCCGGTGTCCCCTTTCCAGGACCTGTTCAAGTACAGCTACCCTCCTCTCCCCGACGACGACTTCCAGACGCCCATCAGCGACAACGGACCCATCGTCAGCGAGGACGAGATCGAGAGCAAAGAGAGCGAGCTGGAAAGCAAAGATGGCGTCGAGTCCAGCTTCAACTCAGAGATTGCTGTCAAGCCCAAAAAGGTATCGCTCTTTCTCTCTCTCTCGCACTCTCGCTCTCTCGTCTACCATCTTTCCACAGTTGGGATTAGGGTTACTCAACCACAGATGGGCAAGGTCTTTCATTTGTCTTTACATTTTTTTTTTTTTAGCAGCTTCGCCTGCATATTACCGTTTATATCCAGAGAAAGTGGAGTTAAACGCTAACGAAAATGTCTGTTGTGAACAAGCGCTAGGAAAAGAGTCTGCTGAACAACTTAATTGTCAATGACGCCATCGCAACATATCGCAAGTTTAATTTATTTGAGAGACTGATTATGTGTCTTAGCAGCTGATGCTGCTTTGGTTAGCAACAGAGTTCAAATGGGCTCAGCAGTTAACTGTTGAATGGCCGTACAGATAATTGTGTCTTATGGACTGACGTCATCTAGTAACAAAGCATTTTTGTTTCTGTTTGAAGGAGGTGTTTATTGGTCCTTTGGTGATTGATGAGTAATTGGGGCATCTTGTCTTTGAGAGAGACGTGTCACTACTTAATACTGTATTTCCCATATGCGGTTCTTCTCACAGTTAATGATTCCACAGATACCGGACAGTTGTTCTTCTCTAACATATTCAAAGGATGAGTACAGGATTACAGCGTTTAATCAGACTCTGTGGAGCTGACTGTATTACTGAGATTTGGAAAGCGCCTACTCACGAAGGTGACTTTCAACGTCTTTGATTGCATCGATGTCAAAGCTTCTCTCCTTAGTTCCCATTCATTCTTGTATGGACCAGTGAAGGCCGATGTCGTACTGTATGGCCGCACCCCCATAACTGGATGCCCACTAAACCCACCGGCTTTAGATGAATACATCTATGTCCTCTGCCCACCTCCTCCTCACTCTGACCTTCACCGCTGTGGGACTGCGAGCACACTTTTAACATTCGACTCTATCCACACGTAAAGTTCCAGCGACCAGTCTCAGAATCCATGTGGTTTTTCTTGCAGCTCGCTGTGTGCAAAATAAGCCTGCCTGAAATCGATGCCCGGCAGAAAGTTCATCACTATCCAACAGCCATTTGATGTTCTATTTGCTCTTGGGTTATTTAATGTGTTGAAGCTCCCCCATCAACTTGGGCTTGACCCACATTTTGTACGAGCGCACAAGCACGCCAAGTATTTCTGTTGGCCGCCGTCCCCATTTGTGGGGCAAACTGGAACCGCCGCAGCGGCTGAAAACGTCAAATCCCACAGCCTTCAAATTCCAGATGAACAAGAGAAAGCATTGTCGAGTAAAAACCGTGTTGATCATGCACATCGGATGGATTGCAGCAAAAACAAATGCAAATCAGGAGTGATTAACCTCATTTAAAAGTGTGCTTTATTTGTGCTGTAAAAAGTGAACTTTGTTTGCATTCTTTCTGGCACCAGAAAGAGTACGGTGTCGTAATCAGCTAAATTCATGAGACTGCCTGCACTTAGACCCACAAACTGTGTGAGATGGTTACATTTGAGTTGAGACAGCGATAAGACCCAACATTTTGAGGGGCTGAGACCAAGTCAAGACCAACACTTTGAGGTGCCAGGTCCAACTCCAGATCAAGGTTGCCAGCTCTTGAGACAAAGTTTAACCCTTTCAGGGACAGCTGTTACGACAGTGCACAGCTTACCATGGTATCAGGTTACAGGGTGCATGAAAGGGTTAAGAGAAATCTTCCAAGCATTAAGACAGAGCTCAGACCCAACCCTGATGGGCCCAGATCAAGTCAAGACCGAGGTTTTGAGGGCTGCCGACAGAGTTAAAGCCAACACTTTGAGGCCTTGAGACAGTCGAAGACTTTGAGGTGGGAAGACCAAGGTTTTGAGGGGTCAAGATAGACTTTGAGGCAGAGGTAAGGCCAAGGCTTTGAGGAATAGAGACCAAGTCAAGGCATTTGGACAGTGAAGACCAACACTTAAGGAGTTTAGACAAAGTCAAGACCGAGGCTTTGATGAGATGAAACCTTTCAATTGGGACCAAGTCTTTGACTGGGTGAGACACAGTCAAGACGAAAACCGAGGCAGATTGAGATCAGGTCAAAAGAGCAGATTCAAGCTTGTAAAGTTTTGAAACACAAATCCAAAGTCCAGCTTTAAGTGCAATCAGTTCCAAGATGAGCTCGAGATCCTCCTTTGAAAGCGGTGGCGTACCAAAGAACTGATTTCTTCTATCCGCCATGCGATGATAGTTCAGATCAGGCAAAGCCTGATGAAATTGAAGTGATGCATCAGATCTCTGAATAATGCGACATCACAGCATACTTACCAAATAATGTCAAGTTGGCCAACGGTGCTTTTTTTTCCTTCCCATTCAAATAATTTGTTGTAGCATAGAGGAAGTTTCCCAATTCTCTGTTGATGGAAATGTGACAAGAAGAAGGTAAAAAGCACTTGCTGTGGCGGCCCTCTACGCTCATATACCGAGCTGTCTGAAGAAGCTCTCGTCTACCATCTCTTCCTCTTCAGGATCGTGTTGGGACCCTGACGGGATGATACGTGATGACGTTAATTGCCTCTCTCTCTTTTTTGAAACAAGGGCTGGAGGTGGTGATGCAGCATAGGATCACTGCACTAACACACGGCGTTCACACTATGGAAGATTTCTGCAGGCGCGCTCATGCGAGCGCCATCACTGTGAGCCTCTTTGAGACCATCTTGGATGCGACATTTCGATTTGATCTACATTTCGGCGGTTCAACATTTCAATGAGCCGACAACATTTCCGACTCTTTTTTTCATGAAGAAACAAAGGCTACAGGACTGTTAGCCTGTAAATTTTTTATTTTTTTTTTGCACAGTGTTGATCACGCCCATCAGATTGACCACCAGCCGTCACTCCAGTCAAACATTTCCCCCCCCCCCCCCTCAAAGGTCCCATTAAAGTACTAAAAGTGAGTTACTGTTTTAAAACAGTAGACCCAAATCTAAAGTATGGAGCACTAAACTAAACCCACGTACTTTGGAGGCCAAGCCAAAAAATAAAAATAAAACAACCAACGCCCTCTCTGCCTCGTCCCCAACACAGTGACAAGCGCGAATCATGTTGTGATTTCCTACCCTGATCCAAATGTACTGTAGTCACAGTAGCTGCATTTCACTCTTCTGATATTTGCTACAGCCCTCAAGCATTTCAAGCACTCCGCATGTGTAAATCGTCCTCTCCATTTGTAATTGTTTTGTTTTTTTAAATTAAGGTTTGGATTGATTTTTTTAACGATCTGCATTTGTATGCGTTTGACAACGATAGTAGCAGCAGTGCCTTTGATCATCCCAATACTAATGTATTTTGATTTTAGTCTGTAATTTTTACTTACTAACACAGGCACGTGTTACATGGAATCTACTCTTTTTTTTAATTCCTGCTGTAATGTGTCAAGTTTGCACTTTAAAATGAAAACGACGAATAAATTGATTTTTTTTTTTCCTAAGCAGTTGATTATCTCAATGTCTTCATTTTTTTTGCGCAAACAGTAATGCCAAGCTGGCATGTTGCTCAAATCACACACACACACACGCACACACACACTCACACACACTTCCCCTGTGAGTCACTCACTTTCCCATCACATGCAGTGACGTCCTCTCACCTTTGCTTCCCCATCCAAACCACGTGAACGCAATAAACACTCGCTGCCCCAATCCCACTCCCCGCAGACCAACCAACGCCACACCTCCCCTCTGCTTTCTCTTTCCCTTATTTTCTGCAAACATCTTCAAAATCAACATCCTGTTATGATCTTGCGGTGGGACGATTTAGGTCAAAGTGTGTGCGGGTGATTGGGTCTTTTTTTTTTTCTCTATCACAAGTCACAAGTCTGCGGTTTATCTTAGTTCTGCATTCTTCAGTAGACATGCTGTTTTGTTTGGTGATCTGTCCATAAATGAGAACAAGAGTCAGGGGCCTTCAATGGGGGGGGTTTCCAAGAAAGAGTATTACGCAATTAATTATTAGCCTTCATGATCTGACAGGTCTCTGCACGTGGAGGCCAACGGTTCAACAAAGCTCCAAGGTTGCTTCTCTGCGTGTCCTTTTGTTGTTAAGAGTCCCATTTTCTGTGCAGGTGAATTTCCTGGAAGACAACGACAAGGGAGAGAGCCGCAGTAAAGGAGCCAGGAAACCCGTGACCACATTTAAAGGCACCCTGTTGGACATCAGGTAGTCACTCCCCTCGGTTCAGAACAATACATTTCTCCCCCAGAATTGTATCCTCAAGTGTTTTACCACAATCGCCGGCCTCCGTACACGTTGCCAGGATTGTCGTACACTTCAACAAATGTACGCATCTCAGGGGGTGAGGAAAACAATGCTGTTGATATCAGTAGGTCGGAGGTCGGTAACCTGCGGCTCTGGAGCCGCACGTGGCTCTTTAGCGCCACCCTAGTGGCGCCTCTGGAGCTTTTTCAAAAATTCTTGAAAAAGGAAAAAGATGGGGGAGGGAATTTTTCGTTTTCATATGGTTTCTGTAGGAGGACAAACATGATACAAACATTCTTAAAAGTTTTCCAATGCTGTAAAAATGTGTAGAATAAATATTAAATGTCAACATTTCTGTCAACGAAGATTTGCGTCATAGCCTGCGACACATTTCCATGAGCAGGATGGGATGCCAGGCAGGTGGCTGTTAAAAAAAAGGCGTTTTACATACACTTCACTCAGGGTACTAGCAAAGAATGGGAATCCGGAGGGCCGAGAGAAGCATTTTTAAACTGTAGACGTTAGCTACGATAGTTAACACGCTGCAAAAGTGCGTCCCATGCCTCATTCGTTTGAGCGGCCGTTATGGCTGTTGTTCATTTTGGCATGTGTGTCTTAAGTGCGTGCGTCTGCGTGGGTGTGCGATCGAAAAAAGCCAACTTGGTCATTTTGATAAGATAAGATAAGAAAACCTTCATTAGTCTCGCAATGGAGAAATTCCCAATTCACAGCAGCAAAGTTATGAATGGAAGAAGTAGAACAACAAAATATAGGAGCTGCTGGAAAGGCAGCCACTAGTAGGCTAATATAGCAAATATAGATATATACTGCATGTGTTGCTTTCATTATAAGGCTTTTAATTTGTGCAGCTGCAGACATATTTGTTTTTTGTTTTTGTTTTTTTGGTCCAATATGGCTCTTTCAACATTTGGGTTGCCAGCCCCTGCACTAGGTGGACATTACGTCCTTCGCCATGCTAACAATACCATTCTTGACCACAACGCTGCCAGCATAGCCGAGGTGGCATCTGTTCTTTCAACATTTTGGGTTGCCGACCCCTGCACTAGGTGGACGTTACGTCCATCTGAGAAGCTTTACCGCAGTATTGCAAGAGTGGTCTTCGGGACCATTCCATATTTCACCGCTGACCCAAAAAGAATTTGCGAGTGTGAAAAAAAAAAAATGCGGAGTGATAAAAGACTTGTGTAGAAAGCTATTAAGTGGATTTACTGCTGCCACTGGAGCCATCAAAGATCATCCATCTGTTGCTGTTCGACTGTACCCAATGAAGCAGGATATTGTCGCAACTGTGAACTATCACATTGACATCTCGCAATCCGAAAATTCGATGGCGTCTGGAATAAATATTTGGCAGACAGCCACAATTTCAACAGAACGATGCAAGAGAAGTGATACGGAGGTGCAGTCCAGCTTAGGTGACTGCTCATCCGCTGGCAAAAAAAAAAGGTAATCACATGATAAAAAATAAAAGGGGATATGGGGAGGCATGTTCTCCTCTGCAATTTCGTAAATCAACTCCCCAGGCTACTACCGGAGCTAAAAAAGTACTTCTGTAATCTTAATTAGTGGGATCTTGATTTTTTTTTTTTTTTTAACCTCACCATACAAAAGTCGAGGAAATGGTTCAATAAAATCACACGCAGCTGCTTGACAGTGCACGAAAAAAACATTTTGCGAAGTCTCTTCCCATCATACCAAAATAACTGTCCCGCGCCCTCTTGATAGTGAACGCTTACACTTCCTGCCATTCAAAGCAAGGCACTGCAACACAGTCAAAAAAGCTACATATAAAAAAGAAAAAAAATGTATATACCGGTATGTCATATTGACTAAAATGTATTTTCTCATCGAGCCATTGTTGACGTGTTTGCCCTTAATTAATAGCTCAATTGATCCGGCTTTATACGGCAATGGGAAATAGGGTTGCCAGGTACCTCACCATACAAAAGTCGAGGAAATGGCTCAATAAAATCACATGCAGCTGCTTGACAGTGCACTGAAAAAACATTTTGCGAAGTCTCTTCCCATCACACCAAAATAACTGTCCCGCCTACGCTTACACTTCCTGCCATTCAAAGCAGGCGCTGCAACACAGTCAAAAAAGCTACATGTAAAAAAGAACAAAAAATGTTTATACCGGTACGTCATATTGACTAAAATGTATATTGTCACCGAGCCATTGTTGACGTGTTTGCACCTTAATTAATAACTCAATTGATCCGGCTTTATACTGCGATGGGAAATATGGTTGCCAGTACAGTAATCAATTGGTCATTGAGTAGAAGGGAGTCGCCGCGGTTAATTATGAACAGAAATCAGCGCGAGACAGCGCTCGGTCATCGATTTCCTTTCTGAGGCCCCCCAACACTCAATCAAATCTGCGACATTTTCTGCCTATTGCTTCTTGGTTTGAATGTTTGAGCTCCGCAGCGCAGGATGATGCATGCGTGCAATTTGCAGTTCGAGGTGTATTCCTCGCGGCAAAGATTCATGGCATGTCCAGCTAATTGGAGCAAGGCGGATTTTTTTAGATTAATCCTCCCATCTTTTGTATGTACCGTCTACTCGATGAGCCCTAAATCTTAGTTATTTATTTTACCGAAACATGACATGCTTACAACTTTGTGGGAACGAGTTTTGCTGTTCCCGGTGCACGAAACAAGGACCACAAAGGCATGCTTGGATAAGTTTCACGCGGAAGAAACCCCCACGTGCTCTTCGCTTTCTTTCAACGCTTCGTTTCTCCATTTCGACGAGGTGCAATTGGCCAGGCGTCCCAATACTACAGTTGTCCGCATCGCGCACATTTTCAATGAGCATATATTTATCAGAACTTGCTGTCAAGGTCTGTTTCCCCAGCGCGTAGCCGCTTTGATGCATAGACGGCGGCAGCTGAAGGCTACAAATCACGTCAATAAAAATATCGCAATGAGCATTTACTGCCACGACGATTCTGGGTTACTTTTTAATTCAAGGCCCGAGAGCTTCCCCGGAGAGAGGAGGGCGGGGGGGATGCTTTGATCGACTGTTTCGTCCAAGCCGTCACTCAACTTTGCGATTGGCTTTGAATACCGTGAGCAAATAACACACACGGGACATGAAAAAGAGGAAAATACACAGCAGTTCCTCTTCCATTAGAAGCAGCAAAGCCGCCTTTACAAGAGGCAGAGAATGTATTGCATGTTTTTTTTTTCTTCCCCCTGCAGAGTACATTAAGTGTTTTACCGCATTGTTTGTGTGTTCAGAAGATAACAGTATTGGGCGTCTTGTCACAGATTTCCCCAAATGAGCTCTTTCCTGTTTCCATCGGATAATAGTGTGTAATTCCTGTAAGGGCGTCCACAGTAGCCGACTATCCGAGTCGGGCTGCAGAGTGAGCTGTCGTTCACATTGTTTGAACGGGCTTGTGAAACATGACTGGATATTTGAGAAGGGGGAAAATATCAGAATCGACTCTCCTTGTATACGCAATGACGTTCTACACTTTAGCATACAACAGCCATAATAATGAAGTGGAACGTGTAAGATGGGACACTTTTCGGTTGCGCAATGACAGTCGCATTCTTATTTGCTGGATTTGAAACCAAAATTTTAACAGGCAGAATTCTCAAACTGTCATTCCGCCGGGTAAATGATTAGAAACAAAAAGTTCTTAAGCAGAGCGAGGACTCGCCATAAATTGTGAAAATGACGAGAACACAAACACTTGATTTAATAACAAGCGGCGTACGTCGGGAGTCTCGCCGCGTTGAATTTGAATCGGCTTGCGTTGTGCAACTTCCCATGTTTGTCCTGCTCTTGTCGCCTTCTTTCAACTTGATGAGGCCTCACCTTCTTTTGGAATAATAGTCACAAAAAGCCAAAGATAAACCAGAACATGTGTCTCCAAGTAGCATTTTTTAGGGCAATATAATATGAGGAGGAGGCTCCTCATATTATACTCCTTCCTTATAGTACTACTATTACTATCTAGAAAATTGCATTGGTATAGGACACCTATTTCATTTTTTTTCCCCCCCATCTTGCAGCCCTGCAGAAGAGCTCAGTTTTGGTTGCGGAGATACAGAGAAGAAAAGCCTCATTATCCTGAGCAATGTCGCGAAAAACCCATTGGCCTTTAAGGTGAGCGCATTCCACTAGCAGATCGCCCGTGCGAAAATGGATCACACCGAACCGCCGGTTTATCACGGAGAATGGGTGCAATAAATGAAAATCTGCCGTATATTCAAACCAACATGTATTTATGTACCATATTTTCCACACTAAAAGCCTTCCATTTTCTTCAAAGCTCACAGCGCGCCTTAAAATCCGATGCACCTTGTGTATGGTCATTCCGGTAATATTTCGACCCCAAAATGGCTCCTTGTTCGAGACATGCTGACAACTCAAGAGTTCAAACTTAAGGCGATCGCTTACGCAATTGAACACGGAAATAGAGCAGAGTTCAACGTTAATGAGTCAATATTATAACTTGCTGTCGGTTAAGTGAACTGTGTCGCTGCTTTATTCAATAAGTTTTAGTGACATCTGATCGTTCTGTTGGCCTTTTCTTGAGCGTAGTTCCATCTAGTGGACGCATTGTAGATTGCGTCTTATAACGCGGTGCGTCCAATGTATGGAAAAAATTACGAAATAGGCCAATCGGCGTCTCATAATCCAGTGCACCTTTTAGTGTGGAAAATACGGTATGTATTATACTGCCTCCTGGTGGCCAAGGGCCATACACCACAAAGAGCAGTACAATGTGCATTGAATTACAGACAAAACTTTTAACTGTTATTACTGCATGTTTTTTTTTTCAACAGTACAATACTATAGAGTGCTATTTTTCTCACGAGAGAGTTTCCGTGATATAGTATCTGCTTTCATTTCACTTCACTGGCCACGAAATGGTTCTCATTTTAATGGCTGTTCGTTGACAGGTCCGGACCACCGCACCGGAGAAGTACAGGGTGAAGCCGAGCAGCAGCACCTGCGAACCTGGCGCCTCGATCGATATCGTGGTGTCTCTGCATGGAGGTACTGTTCCAAGTTCACTGGAGCTTACTGAATGCCTCCAAATGATCTCATCGCTCGCCCCTCTAAAGTGGCTGACATTTATGTTCCGCGAAGATGACTTGGGCTGAAGTGAGGACAACTCCCATGATGCCACACATCATCAACAAGCCCTTGTGTTGTTTTGATTGACAGGCCTGCAGAGGCAGAAAAGACAACCGCTGCCTCTTTGAAGACCTTCACACGTTACATGGTTTGCTTTTATTTTCGTCCAGGGTCTCAGGCGTCCCCCCAGGATCGCTTCCTGGTCATGGCAGCGGAAATGGACAACATAGGATCTCAAGAACTTGCGCAGTTCTGGAAAGAAGTACAAAAGACTAAAATCATGGAGCACAGGTACTGTCTTGTAGTTCTACTATAGGCTCCGTAGTTCGCCCCCCGACGGTCTTGTTCAAGGTTTTTTTCCTCCCCCCCTTGCAGGTTGCGCTGCCATGTTATGGAAAGCGTCAAACCAGCAGTGAGCCCGCAGAATGAGACTGGCAATCTTGGAAGCAACAACAAGGATATAAACGCAGCGGTAATTGCACCTTTCACACACACACACACACACACACACACACACACACACACACACAAAACATTAGAACCTCTCAGCACAAACACACAAAGAAAA